TGCATCTGATCGAAGCAGAACAATACATACAACAAATAGATCAAGAATCTTGACAGTCAGTTTCAAGAAACAAGAAGACTTGGAAGAAGAACAAGTAAACGAACAAAGAAGAGCGTCAAAAAACGTCTAACAAGTATATCACAGAATCAATCCAACTGAAAGGCAATGCATCTGATCGAAGCAGAATAATACATACAACAAATAGATCAAGAATCTTGACAGTCAGTTTCAAGAACCAAGAAGACTTGGAAGAAGAACAAGTAAACGAACAAAGCTTGGAGACTTAACAAAATTATGTTCCGATAGTCAAACAAAGAAGAGTGTGGAAGAAGCCTGACAACAATAATAACAACCAAACCTAAAGCAGAAGAATGAAGAAACATCACAATTAATGAAGTGTAATATGAAGTAGAAAAGGCAACCAAGTATTGCCTTGATGTCGTCGTTTGACACCCTATAATCCAAGTTGGAGATACAAGCTTGGTGCTCGTCTCCATCGAGGAAACCCTAACCGTCGAAGAAGGGCAACCCATCTGGGCCGGAGATCTAAATGAATAACCCCAAAAATCGCCGGAGACCATGAACGTACCTTTTCCGTCGAGCAAGGGACGAAGTAGTTAACCGAAAGATTGGGCAAGCGACGGGCGGAGCCAGCGTAGCGAAGACACCTCCGAGGTCGCGCCTTCTTGATGTTCTTGATGACGTCGTCGAGGGACATGTACAGCGCGACGGTCATCACCGATCGGGCTGCTGACCAAGGCAGAGGTCGAGCGGCGATCGGTGGCCGAGGGAGAAATTTTTGGGCTGAGAGGTGGTAGGATCGATCGGACGAGACGGCTCTCGGGGTTAAGAGGACATGACCAGGTGGAAGAAGAGAGGGGCAGCGGGAAAGACACTGTTTGTATGACGACATATGCAGCGATATTTCTCTAAGTCGGTGAAGGTGGCTGCCACGTCAGTCAAACTGCAGAAAGAACGCCCTGAATTAAAGTGACAATTGTAATTTAAAAAATTATATATATATATATATAATGACAAGTGGATGCAAAAGGGATTCGCATCGACGCAAATGCTCAATGGCATCATTCCCGTCTCAAAATCAAGATGAGCAACTTTTCATAACTCCTGTGAACAAAAAACATGATCATGGCACCAAACCCCAAACTTGATAGTTGAAGCAAAGTAGAGACAAAGCTGCACTTGAAAGCACAAGTTATGATCAGAACACTGACAAGTTGGAACTTCAGGGAGTTGTCATTTATTTCTACACAAGCATATCTTTAGGTTGCAAAGTTGGTAATAG